TCGTGTTATGAGCTTTCTCTTGCTTCAGAATCGCTGCCCTTCTGGTAATAATGGGTGAGGTATCTACAAAAACATTATGTAGTTGGAGAAGCATAAGCTCATTCTATTGCCTGACATTATGAAGTCCACGTCCTAGCTCGTCTCTTGGCAGGTGCAGTCTTTCCAAGTATACAGGTTGCTTGTGAATTCCGTATTTTATTAGTAACTGTCTGATATCAAGATCTATAGCCTTGAAGTCTTCTGGCTCCAACTTGAGCTCCCCGACTTAATAATTTATTAGGCTTATGGCGTGCTCATTCACAGCCTTGATAAAGTTCTTGTCGTTTAGTGCAGTTTTGGCTAACCTCTCAATTCTCTCCAAAATCTTTGCTCGCACCTTATCGTAGCTTTCTCGAGTAGGTACACTAGTCCTGTCTTCTACTATTCCAAGGTATTTATAGCCTTGAGTTTCTTCCAATAGCGCCGCCTTATCAGCACATACCTCAATATTATTGGCTGACTTTGCTGAATTTCCTTCTAGTCCTACCACATTAAGAAATCTTTCAGCTTTTTTAGCCATAGATTTCATGGTATCCTCATCGGTCGCAAAGATCTTGAAATCATCCACAAACAACAAATGATTCGTAATGTGCACTCCTTGATCAGTTGGAACCGCCACCTTTGGGTACCTTATATTAAGTCCACTGCTCAACGGGTCCATGCACAGGACAAATAGCAGCTGAGATAGGCTATCACCTTGTAGAATTCTTTGTTCTATTTTCTTCTCCATTAAAGTTTCTTTATTGATTTTCAGTACAGCCACCCATCTGGATGTGATGCTTCTCAGAAACCTGCTGATCCATCATGGTATGTTAAGCTTTTCAATACACTTAATCAGATATCCGTGAACAACTAAAATGAACACTTTTTTAATGTCATGCCACGTAGTATACAACTTGTTCCTGTGTTGTTACAAACCGCCAGGTTCAACATTGCTTGTTCCTTCGTAGTCGCTGCCTTTACATGGGACACCTTGAATCAGGTAGGTAGTATCGAGTCTCATAACTTTTTATTTTACTTTCGTAAACTCTCACACGGT